TTACTCTCATTTCCTTCGCGTTCACGTTGAAAAAAGTAACCTGAACTGTAGCAATTAAAACGCCATGATTTGCCCTTCAGAATGCTGGAAATCACCCCCTCGCATGTCTTAATCAATAATGTCTGGAGTGGCACAGTAGAGGATGTTAGCATCGACAACGAGTACGAGTTCTAGAACGAGATCAGCGATTTTGCGTACTGCGCATCCGTTCTGCGCATCTCCACGTTTTCAAGTCGTCCTGTCAAGTTGCACTACGACGAGTTCTCACCAAAAACTCGAAGTGGGTAGAACGACTGGGAAGAGCTGGTTTTCAAAGGTAAATTCCGATCGTTTAATGCAGTTTCTTTGCGTTTCTAGCCTCTCTTTATCATCTTGAACATTCCTTATATTATGTTTTATGTAAAATACTGCTTTTGAAGTCGAGGAAAAGCAACCGAACGCGATATTTCCTACACAGTTCTATAAACTCGAACTCGGTGTCATCGCTAACATAGAAAGCTGAGAAAAAGACTTCGAGTACGAGTACGGCTTGAAGTCGTTCTCGTACTCGTACTCGTTGTTGATGCTAACATCCTCTAGTGTGACCCAATATGACAACTATAGTGCAGTACACCATCAGTAAAACATGAGTGAGGTGGAGAGAGGTGATCGCAACTTAAGAAAATGCAAATAAAAAAATGCGCTTGTTTTTCATTTCTGTGAAACTGGTGGCCCAAGAAGGGGAGTCGTTGACGAAAAGTGGTCGCAGGTGGAGGTTCACCGTAATAATAAAAACCTGTACAACACTTGAAACTAAGAGAAAAGGAACAAAGTCTCACTGGCTTTCTTACGGGCTTAGCTTTCTCTGCCTTAGTTCTATTTGTAGAAACAAATAAAAGGTGAAAACTGAACATCATTGTGTTTCAAAATCATCTAGTATTTACATAAACAGTACATGTCAGTCAAAACAACATTGTCATACGTCAACGTACGTTTATGCAGTCGTGAGTATACCACGTGTGGGAGCAGTAAGCAAAGGCAGCTTCCAGTGCGTGCTTTCTTAAAAAAAATTCATTAACTCTGCAGGTGGAGTTAGCGCAGAAAAAAGGTAGGTGTTCAATCTTTCAGGCTGAACGTTTAGGTGACAAACGGAATGGTCAACGGTATAAGAAAGAACGAATTATCTTCACGATAACATGTCAAAATCAGGTACCTTTACACATGATCCATGCGGAACGCATCAAAACTCAAAAACCTTCTATTCTACCCGGAAGGTAACAAAATAGTGACCAGGAGTAGAGCATACTGGCCCTATGAGGATATGAAACTTAGCGACATAAGCTTAAGTTGTTTAGGTACGCGCAACCTTCGAAAACAATGAAAGTTTGCTCGTTCTTCAGAGTTTAACTGTACGCTTTCTTCAATTTTACAGGCAAGATGGCAGCTCAGATAAACGGGAATAACAACTTCCACGTAAGTAGTCAACAAAGGGTCTACCCATAAGGATGAAAATAAACAATGTTGCCACGGATTGAAAGGAAAAAGTTGCTGTATCTGTTTTGCTGTACCAAAACGTTTGTACCACAACAAATTCAACTCTCCTGTTGTTTCGTAGAAGACCGTGAGAACAATTAGATTTTGAGATTAAGTTATCGCGAGCACTTGACAGAAAATTATGGATAGTTCGTAATCTTTCGTGACGCAGTCTGTTCCCAAAGAGTTGGTTAACAATCTTATTTCAAAGTAAATGTGAAACCTAGGTCCACTTTTAAGACCTCTACTTTTATGTGGTGCTCAATTGCCTAGCCATTCTCCACGCACGCCCGCTTCGCGTTTGCCTTTGCCGGCCTGAAAAACACGAAAAATAACGCCTTTCCTACAGGCTGGCAAAATTCTAAAGCAAGAACTAATCAAAGTAAAACTACTAAACAAAATTCTCCTGTAGCAATGTTCATCGTGCACAACAAGTTTGGCTCTTACTTTTGAGTGTCTGTGGTATTAAGTCTATTGAGCTGTGCAAGTAAAAGTGTCATTCACTCATTCAAGTTAGTTCTGCTTTTCAGTTTTGACAAAAAATCACAGCGTCGGACAGCGAAGTACTGTTTATTAAGCTCTGCAAGCAGTAAGGCAAGATAATATTAGTCATTGCACGAAAGCCCCTTAGCAGTGCTAGCTGTGCATGTTGTGGTAGTTGTACTATACAAGGAGCTTAAACGTTTCTTAGCCCCGAGTATTTTGTGGTTATTTCTATAGAACTTGTGGCTTCCAAGAATTCCTAAGGGCTAACCATTCGTATAAAAGCTGTTTACATGTTATGCTGTACAAGTTGAAATACTATCACTTGAATCAAATTACTTAAGTTAAGTTTTCAAAGTAACTCTCCATTCTATGCTTATTGAGATCTGTTTCTGCGTACAATGTCCTTAAGCGAGATTACTTGCAGCAGAATGAAAGTTACAGGAAAGTATATGTACTTTCCAGTGCTCCACGGCACCATTAAACCGCTTTTAGGCTTTTGTAGGGTTGTTCGTGTACACGTACATTAAAATGTTTGTTTCATGCCTTTACCTTAAGGAGTCATAATCTGAATAATCTAGCTCTCCTGGAGTAACCTTAGAAACGGAAATGAGAAGTAGTCTCCTTTTACACAAATTTTGTCTGTTAATAGTGCTCAGTGCTAACATGATTCTCTCTCTTCTTTAATTTTAGGAACAACCAAACCCTGGGTAAGTTTACGGCTATTACTGAGTATTAACTTTGCTACTAATTATTTATTCTAGACCGAAAGGTCATTATCATCGCGCGTTTGTTCACGGTTGAATTACATAATTTTCTACCCTCGAGTTCTCAGATTGCAGCCTTTTAGTTTCATATAAATAATGTATGTACTTCCAATTTGTCTCAACCAATATATAGGTCTATCGTTTTAGAATCTCAAAATTGATCTAACAGCTAAGTTACAACAAGCGCAATATAATGTTGTAAAGAATTGGATATTAAACATAAGTATAAAATTTGGTTCTTTTATCAACAAATTAAGCGTTTGTTTTGATGAGAAATTAAAAAGCGAAACTCACGAATGTGTGCAATCAATAACTTTGCAAAGGGTAATTGATATGCATCGTATTCATACCAGACCTGATCAACACACAGTGTTTTATTTAAACGTATTAGCTGATTCAATGTCGGGCACTGAAGCATGTTAATACGATTTTTCTTAGGCCCTTAAAATTACTATTGGTCAATAAAGAATTAGTGCATTCCTCATAATAGTTTCCAATATTTAGCTATATACAGGTTTTCTTAAGTGAATGCAAAGATACTGTGCATGTACAACTACATGGTACACCTGTGCAAATTTATTTTGATAAACATAAAGTATTAAAATTCAGTTGCTGAAAATAACATTATCTTATAACTAATTCAAATTAATTTGAATGCATCAAGTTTCCTTTTTAAAACTGGACATATATGTTTGACACTTGCAAAGTCAATAACCAAATAACCAAACGGTGTATAACTAATAAAAATTGTAACAGTCTAGAAGTCTAGAGAGTGTGAAGAAAATTACCTCCAAGCTCAGAAAACTTACCTAACAAGCATTTTCTGGCACTATAATGACAGGACACACATCAGGGCTGTAACTGAGGGCCAGGGGGCTGCAGATTTTCCCCAGCTACTAAAAGGATGAACTGCGGCTACCTCCATAGGAAACAAAGCGAAAATAGAACCAGAAGAACCTTCTACCTGCTCAATTCCCTGCCTACTAATATTATGGGTGGTTTAACCTTGTCGCGGACTTCATATCCTATTGTTTTTCCAACTTGTATATGTTATGTATACTTTATTAGCAATCTGGTTGTCCAAATGTTACATGACAGACATGGTGCAGTTTTGAACTTTGAGCAATATGGAAGTAAAAAAAAAAAGTGTCAATATAACTTGCCTGTGCATTACATCATATATTTAACAGCTATTTTGCGCTTTATAAATAATTAATTATTATTATTATTATTATTATTATTATTATTATTATTATTATTATTATTATTATCATTATCATTATTACTTACTAACTTGCACTGTTCATTTTTGACTTCCAGATTTCAGCATTTGATGCAACATCAGATCACATCCCTGGAGGTAATAAATTAGAGTGTTTTCATGCTGTTTTTAACAAATAACACAGTATTACTCATTCATATAAGCAAAAAATCGATTTAGGCATTAAATTTTCTTTGGACTTTGGTGAACCCTCAACAATAATTACAATAAAATGCCAGGAGACTGGGAAAATGTGTTCATTGTAACAAGGGTCAGGGCTGTCGCAAAGATTTCAAGTTGCTGGGGAAATACATTAAGTAGGTGGGGAATCAAACAGCTAGGGATTTCTTTTGGTTCCAATTATCTTTTATTTTCTTATGAAAGTAGCTGGGGGGTTCACCTTCATATTACCTGGAGGAAATCCCTGGCCCCTTGCCTTAACGACAGCCATGTGTGTACTTTGCAGATCTATAAATCAATTATTATCCTGCATTATCTTTCTGTAACTAGGGCAAAGAATATTATTCATTATACTCGGGTCTTCATTAGGATTAATTGGTTCCAATTGATTAAAAGGTTCCATAAGATTGTACTATTATTCATTCAAAATATTTCTCAGTTTCTGATTGGCTTAAATCCCTCAGCTTAATCTTCAACCAAATCTGAAAGACATTTGCTTTTTTTTTTGCAATTGATGTAAATTTTAAAATAGAACACTGAAAAAGGGAATGACTGATGTTATGCAAAGACATGGGTTTTGCAGTTACATGAAATTCACACCAGTATGAAGGTCATACCAAATTTCAATGAAGGTTGGTCTTTTATGAGTCACTTCAAAACATAATGTACCAACAAAAATTTCAAACATGACTCCATTTAGCACCATGCAATGATTATAAGACTTGCATTACATGAGCTAGTCTTGCAGGAGACTAATAATAATTTTATACTGAAACAAATGGTCATAACGTGTTTCCATGACACCAGTACAAGTTCTAAAATCTCCACAAAGAGAAGCTACAAGGATGAACTTGCATCAGGTATGACTCAAACTGGTATGATATTTTTGTACTGGTGTAGTGACCAGGTTAACAAATACAGAGCTCAAAATGGGAACTGAATAAATTGTGACCACTATGAATTAAAGTCATACTGAAGCAACGTGAGCAGGTACAGGCTCTCCGCTGAAATGGAACAGTGTGAGATGCTGGGAAACTGCCTACCCACAGTACCCACCCTCCCCTAACCCAACATTAACACTAATTTTCTCTTGAGACAAAATGTTGGGTTAGGGAGGGTGGTTGGGCTTTTTTTTCCCAGAATTGTATACCAAAACAGTTTAGCAGTAATACTTTAATAACACCCTTGAATCTTAGTCATGTGTACATCCAAACCTAACCTAGTGGATCACAAAAGTTCTCATTTTTTGAAATTCTCTTTTGCAGCTAGGAGATCACATTCATTTGCCATTGAGCATTGAAGAAACAAGGTATAATAAAAATTATTGCCTAGAGCTAAAAGTGAGGTTAAGGTAGTCGAATGCTTTTTACTCGTGTCTATAATGTTTACAAATTGATGATGATTTCTGTTTGTGTCCATCAATGCGTTCGTGAAGGTGGCCGTGAGTATAACCAACATATCCTGCATCGCACAGGTTACGTTGAAATTGATAAACTAAACATTGTTGGTTAACAATGGCTGGCTTGACTTCTTGAAATTTAAGGTCTTCGTTGAGTTTGTAAACATTATCTTAGCGAACATAACTCGGACGTACCACCTTTTCTTTCAGAACAATTTCACGTGCTCACTAAAGGTTCTAACAAATTTGATTGCCTAATTAAGGAGATGCTCTTTATAAGAAAACTCAAACCATCCCTAAACGTGCAGGCGGACTCGATTCGCGCAAAGGTATTCACTTGAAGAACTTGTGATCCTTTGTTATTATGCTAATTTGTAGAGACTATAGAAATCAAATCTTTGCATTATTTATTCATTTTGCCTTGAGAATGGTGTCATGATGATACCGAAAGGTTGGCTTTTAGTGTTAATATTCGCTTGCTTATGTTTTAAGAAATCGTTATTGATCAAAAAGTAAAGTCTGTAGTCGAAAACCCACTGCTTATTATACAATATTGCAGGAATGGAATTTGATACTCGAGTAGAGATAGCAACTAACAGGTTTAAATTTCAAATAATCAGTTCGTTATGAGAATCTATGAGGGTAAGCTTGACCAGGGTTGACTGTAATACAGACATAAAAGGGACATGCAACAGACAAGCTTTACCCCAGAATCAAATCTTTATAGTTAGCAACTTGTTAACTCTGGGTTAACACTAGAATTAAGCAATAATTATCATTGTTTAAACAAAACACATGCACACTGAAAAGATGCCCATGAATTGAAACTTTAAATTTATTCCATAGACCAAGCAGGTTAATAATAATTAATGATCAAACGTTTTATGGGAGGGACTGGGCTGAGTTCAGATCTCAAAACTTAGCAGGGCTTCTTGTCTTTTTTTTTTTCTCACTTCAACTTAGACCTGGGCAGCAAGTGGAAGACTATTTTTTTGAACTGCTCTCCACTAATAATGAGATGGTAAGTCCTATATGCAGAGCTTGAAATAATTTTAAGCCTTGATAGTTAATATAAGTCTACAATTAATTGCAGCCAATAAACCACTTCCTAATTTTGTTCTGTTGGGTGACCTGTAAATAGTGGGGATAAAATTGAGAATGGTGGCCATTTTCTCTGAGGACATCACAGAAATTTACATGTACCTTGTTTCAAGTAAGCTGCTTGCCCCATTTTTTAAGGTTACTTGACCTTACACAGTCATGGTCTTCATAATCATGTGGTATCACAAATGTTCTCTTTGACTTTTGCTTCAAAACCGTGTGATATCAAATCAGTGTAAATCCACACTTCATTAATCTCTGATTACCACCAGTTTATTTTCTTCTATCACATATCACACTTTGCAAGTCAGTATCTTTGTGTTGCATTATGACAGAAAAGTGGGAGAGTCTTTGTTTTAAATAAATGTCACCAGTAACCCTTTTCACCCACAAGGGTACCAAAACCCAAAGTCTCAAAGTAAGAACAACATACCTTACATGCACATTATCAACAATTCCAGTAAGGGGTTATAAATAAGTAATCAATGCAGCTGTGAGAGTGCATGCTTGTGCATGGAAATAGTCATTTTTTTAACTAGATGGTATACAGCTGTACAAATGACAGTGTCTATTTCTGTAATACTCTGATTCCCAAAAAAACAAGTTGCATGGAAGTGAGGTTTAATAGCCCTCGCAGCAAATTTGAAATAACTTACATAGCTGACAATCAAGTTGATCTTACTCCAGAGAACTTTCTTGGTGCTACAACCAGCTGCAAAAATGTTGAGACACTCCCACCGAAAAACGACTTTTCTTACTTCAAATCACTCGTGGTTACATGTCTGTAAACTATAATACTGACCTCCTTCTTCCCTCCCATTCAAAGTTGTTCCTCCAAGTTTTGAGTATGGTCTTGTATTGCTAGCAACTTTGATAAGGGGTGGAGGGGGATCACAAGCACAAGATCATGGACAGGCCATTTATGCTAAAATACGGTACAGTGTCTCAAGTACTTTTGCAACTGGTTGTAGCTTTAGCGAAGAAGAGATAGGAAAATTAACCATTGCTCAACTAAAATATTGGTTAAAATGCCGCTGTATGGAATGGTAGGTGTACATCATCCAAATCGAACGCATGATCGATTGATCAGCTGTTTATGCTGTTTATTTTCAACTTCAGTCAGGGGTTTCCCTCAATCTTTTTGAGGGGCAGTCCTTAGGACTCCTTTAGCCTAAAGTTGCCAGTCCCAGAGAAAAAAGTAGGGGTCCAGCATTGTTTTATTGTAAACTCCAAGAGACGAATGTAACAAAATTAAATAAACATATCTTTTACTCAATCAGTTTTTGCTATGTTTACTTTATTTGAAAAGGAAGACAGCACTTAAGGTATTTCTCACTAACTCAAACTTAGTCAGGATAATACACTAACAATGTCCTTGCTTCAATGCTACTTTAAAAAATATTAACATTTGCAAGTAATCTCTTTAGGTTTAGCTGCATCTGTTCAGTAAGAAAGTTACATGACATGTTGTGTTCAACTCTTTTCATTTTTGCCTTTCCTTCACGTCTCTAAATGCACGTGCTGCTGTAGGAAAATCAACATTTTCAAAGCTGGGTCCAACTAGTCTGATCATCATTCAGCTTGGTTGCGATTGCATTTTGTACAGAAAACCGTCTCTCACAAGGAGCACTTGATACTGGGATTACGAGACTGACTAAAGCTAGTTGCACAAAATCAGGGTGGACATCTTTATACTCTTGAATGAGACAGCTAGTAAACTGTTCAAAGTTCACAGCTCTGTAACTGGGCACTTGATGCTTGAACTGAAGAAATTGGTTTTTACACCTATTTGAGTCAAGAACAGTTTTAAAGTAATGACAAAGTTTATTGAGTTGTTCATCATCATGGTTTCCTAACTCTCTTGCACCATCAGGTAGTCGTCTAGGGTTCAAGACAACATCAAAACATTTCAGTAGCTCCAAGTCATTTTCTAGAAACCTGTTGTGTAGGTTGCCGGCAAGCTGGTTCAGGTATCTCCTTCACACTGAGTTGAACAGGGCTCTTAGGTTGTTGTTATCAGCAATTTCCACTCCCTTGCAGATATTCTTCCAAGCGCCAGGAACATCACCTAGGTCTGCCAACACTCTGTTTACCACAGGAGATCCATCAATCATTCCTTCAAATGCCTGAGCAGTGGAAGGTACACTGTGTCTTATGACAGACAAGTTGGCAACATCCCTCTGAAACAGAGGACTAAATGTCCCAATAACTGACAGAACATCAATCAACAAGACTGTGGTTAGAAGAAACAGTGTTGAAGCTGTGAACTGCCAAATTCCAACAGCTGTAGCATTAGAACTCTTTTCATTTTCCAAGAACATGACAAGTGAATCATAGTCCTCAAATATCATCCTGATGCACGTCTCCACAGACAGCCATCTAACTGATGAAGGATCCACCACCTGTTTAACTTTTCCGTGCATACGCTGCTGAATTTCCTTCAGTTTTTGTTATATTGCACGCTTGAATTTCAATAGAATTTGTACATGGTGTTTATTTTCCCTTTGTACTGTTCAAGATAATCAATGTCCTTACTTGCCTTCTAGGCAGTAAGGTTAAGTCTGTGAGCAACACAGTGTACTTGGATAAGAATATTGTTCAACTGCTTCAACTTCACCCCAAGGCCATTACAATGTCCAGTCATGACAGCTGCGCCATCTGTTCCAAGTCCTACAATTCCACTGTAGTCATCCCCCTATACAGGGCTTTTTTCTTTCAGATACTCAAAGAGGGCATCCTTAATGCCAGCAGCAGTGCAGTTGACTATTCTTTTGTTTCCCAGAAATGAGGTATTAGCAGAGCCGGTTTCTGAATTGACATAATCTCCCACAAATAGCTAATTTTTTCTCAACAGAAATGTCACATGACTGTTTCATCAAGTGGGTGTGCATCCAATAGGACCCTTCCTCTTTTGGTTTTTTAGCCAAACAATGCATCACTGACACGCATTTACATGTTTAGGAAAACCCTGCTAGTACAAGCTTAAATAGCGGTTTAGACACAATGTTTTCATACAAAATTTGCTTTCTGAGGGTCAAGAACCTGTAAGCAATGAAAAACCTAGGAATATACATGTATGACCCTGACTCAGAGAGGAGCTTCACTAAAGCAAATTAGTGAGAAAGAATGAAGAACTGAGGTAAAATGGGGAAACCACGAGTGGATACAGCAAACCACTTCAAGAACTTTCCCACCGTTGATTCAGCATTTGGTGATAATTTTACTGTCCTTCCCACATTCGCCTGGTCTGATACATTAGAACACCTTAAAAACTGTGGAAAGAACACCAGGAAATCTGCCGATGCCACTGCCGAGTTTGCAAGTTCTAAAGGACTCAGAATGCTCTCATTTGTTCACGACCTCCAAGTGTGTGCCAATCCAAATTCCAAGGATGATGTTTTTTACCTTAGAGCGCTTTGCCAGGCCTCCTATAGGAAATCTGTGAATTGCATGTACAAAGTCAAAATGGTAGTTCAGGGGAATGGCAAACCCAAAATTCTAGCTGCCGAGTGTGACAACATAAGCCAATCATGACAGAGAAACTTTTTTTAAACCACCATTCCTCAGACATCCTGGGAAGAAAGCGTCAAGGTGTCTATCCCACGCTGTTCAATCCAAGACCATCAAAATAGCATGAGTTAGACCTAGAATCAGTTGAAAGATTGAAACAGAACATACAAAGAGTAAATTCTGCTGTTCCATTTCCGAAAAAGATCCCTGATGCGGATAGTATCAAGTTACTTGGCACAATAGTTAGAGAAGTTGCGTACGGTTCTGCATTTCACATGCAACTCAAAGAGTTTGGAACAGACATTCAAGATAACAATAATTGTATCTCCTCTAACTGTTCACTTTCAATTTCAAGTTGTGAAACAGAAGTTGATGATATAGTTGAGGGAAGAGAGGACATGAAACATCATCAGGACACCGTATTTCAAATAATATCACCAGTGAAGGAACACCCAGTGTCTCTGCAAGAAATACATAATGGTTGTGAAAGAATAAAAAGAAGCCTTTTCAAGATTGAAGATGAAATTGCTGAAGTGGAGTCTCAAACAAGAACACAGTCTGCTTGGCAAGAAGTGTATAAACACAGGTTTGGTAGAGAGACAGCTTCAGAGAGTCACAGGGTTGGATGCACTCATAAGGTAGGGACTTCCCCTTCTAAAATAATCAAAGAAGTCCTCTACAGTGACAACAACTACATTGTATCAGTCACAGGCCATGAGAGATGACTCAAAAAAATGATCAGCTGGTGAGAGACAATAACATTGAAATGATGCACAAGCAGGGACACACAAAGGCCACACTAACACAATGTGGTTTCTTGAATGAAAAAGAAAAGGAATTTGGGTGCCTCTCCAGATGGTCTGATAACAGAGCCAAGCAGGAAGGATCCACATGGACTTTTTGACGCTAAGTATATCATTTTCAAGGATGGTGAGGGCCTGAAAGATGCTCTTATGTGGAATTCTATATGCAAAACATCAGATTCTGGAGTACTACAAGTCAACAAGAATCACATGTACTTTTATCTAGTACAACAGCAGCGGTTATGTTGTGAAAAGACTTTATGGTGTGCTTTCAATCCTGGAAAGTAATGAAGAATTCTTTTGCACACAAGTTTCCTTTGAGCACAAATGGTGGAAGGAGAAACAAAAGAACACTGAACAATTTTATGATAAATATATCATATATGAGTTAGCTTACCCCATACTCAGAGATGGCCTACAGTGACTGTACGTACACGTGTAGGTATAGTTTTAACTGACCACATACAATCAACTTTCAGGAAATCCAGTATAAAATTATATATCTTCATTACTACATGAAAATTTTTCCAGACCAAACATAGAAATTTTCTCCCCATTCTTGCAATTCATCATGAAGGAGCCTTTCATTTTCCATCTTTATTTCCTCTACCCACCTTTCAAGAGTTGGTGGCTGACAACAACAGAGTCGTTCTGGAAATTTGCAGTTTTTTTCTCTCTACACAGCGATTCTTTGTTCACTTTAGTCCAAGGAAAAACCGATGGCATTGAGGTCCCGTCTTACATGTAGACCAGTCAGACTTTGTTTATTATCCATCAGTAAGAAGTGTTCTGAACAACAGAACTTGTTTCCTACAGCGGCAAAGAAGTTATCTCCTCTTTTCATTAAAATTTCCCACTTCTTTCTTTGTTGTGTGTCTGATGGAAACTCATGAAATGATACAAATGTACATGTAGGTCAGATCGATTGTCACTTCTGTTACAAGAAGCTGCTGCACAGCATTTGTGACCACTTTTTCTATCTTTCTTTATAAATTGACTCAGTGAAGTAGCTTTAAATTTGCCCACAACTCAGCTTCCATTTGTTTTTCCCGTTGTTTGTACTGCTTGCAGGTTCTTGACCCTGACGAAAGCAAATTTTGTATGAAAACATGTGTCTAAACTGCTATTTAAGCTTGTAGTTGAAAATAAACAGCATAAACAGCTGATTGATCGCACAAAGCCGGATGATGTACACCTACATGTTCCTTTCCAACAGTTCCTTTTTACTACCATTTTGATTTATACGGCGGCATTTTAACCGAAACTTTAGTTGAGCAACAGTCAATTTTCCTATCTCTAGCTAGAGAACACAGCTAGCACCACAAATGCCCTCTGGAGTAAGATTGACTTGATCATCCACCATGTTAGTGATTTCAAATTTGCTGCAAGGGGTATCAAGCCTCACTTCCATGCAACTTCCAGTTTTTTCTGGAATTATCAGAGTATTGAACATTGCTGATATAAATTTAAAGTCATGGAAGACAATGTGCTTTTCAAAAAAAATCCTGTAATGAGCAATACAATACAATACAACTAGGAAAAATAGGATTCAGAACATTATTATAGGAATAAGAACATGCAAGTCTAGTGAATAATAATAAGTAATATTATACACATCTTCATGTTACAAAGTTACTGTATCAGTATAATTGTTCAACATCATACATGTAATAGTACCATTATAGCTCACAGCTAAGAAGATAGCATGAAGCTCAACATAGCCCCTTTAAGAGGGTCTGACCGGAGTTGAATGTACGTGTATCATACATGTACTTCTCTCTTAAACATCTATAGGCAGTGGATCAGCTGTGACAGAGGAATCAGTGGCTATCAGCAAATTTGTGTGATACCCCAGTCAAAAGTTCTTCATCACAAAAATAGTTTAATTGTGTAACTTTTGTTTACTGTCAGTCACTGTAACATAATTTATTAATAAATACCAAAACATTTCAGCAATAAGTCATGTTAAGATAAAATTACTTATAGATCCACCATGATGTTGCTTAAGTAAGGTATATATCATGTGAATAAAGATATATGAGAATTTGTGTTGCACATATAAGAAATAAGTTTTGCTATTACAGGCAGGGCAAATGAAAATGTCATCTACAGATCTTTCTGCCCTGCCTGTAAAGCAGAATATGTAGGAAAAATGGACAGGTATCTCGTAGAACATATGTGTACCAGAGGAAATTCAGCTATTCATCAACACATGAAAACTTGAAGTTTATGCTTAATCTACACAGTAACTTACCTAAGACGTTTCTTAATGAAAAAAACATTATTTTATTAATAATACATGTATTTATCATATAAAATGTAAACATACAGAAACAGTCTTAATGTCAACACAGCAATCCTAGCAATGAATGTCAACTTTGTCAAACTTGTCTTCTTTGGCTGTTTAAATAATGCCTATATTTCTGTGATTGTATATTTAGCTCAGCAAGTTTGTAAAAATTTTTCATAGTTTTGAATTAAACCAGCATTTCAATAAACATTTATTTTGTCGTAAGATTTCTCGTTTTCCCTAAAATAATATTAAGGAGCAAGATATTCTTTGGCACTGTTTTCAATTTTATATTTTCTACACCTCAAAAGTTTGAATCAGAGAATATTTAATTTTACAGTTTAAGGTTTCACAAAAAAAAATTTGCAGATCTACTACAGCTGTAAATGTAGAGATTTGGCTACGATGGATAAAACAAGAACCTTGCACTTCAAAAAAGAAGGGATCTGCCCTAAAGGTTCATTTTAATCTACAATGTACATGTAAACTTACCAGTCCTCTTCCACAGTTATCATACAATCAGTTCTAATTCCTGGCAAAATCCAATAACGTGTCCATGACTTTACAACATTAGTCTCCACTGACCTCTTTTCCTTATGAGCTAAAGAACAAAAACAAAACAGAACCGACAAGTCAGTACAACAATAATAATCCAGATTAATTTTTTTGACAAAATGTGCAACTTAAAATATTATGCCAATATACAGGGTAGCTTGTGAGCAATATCTCTGTTTGGGGGACACAGGGTGGGGAATTCCTCTGCCCCTTGCCAATAGGTCGTACACTCTCCTGTGGCTCGCTTCACTTGCCACTTGAAATGGAGTCACATTAGGTTTTCGCAATGTCAACTACAACCTTGGAACTTGGTTGTGTCTGCAGGTGTACACCTGTGGGCAACTAATTTAAGGTAGCATGGGTTTTACGACAAGCATGACAGGTGTTGTCAGAAGCAATTCACCATTGCACAAAGTTTATTGGCAACAAACGATGATGTTAAGTTGAGCAGAAGAAAAAACTGTGGGTTAGGGTTGGCCATGTCAATCTTTGACCTGCCTCTTTCAATCGTGTGCACATGCACTTCTTAGCAAAGCAAGCTGCTGCACGCTGCAGTTTAGCTGTTCACTTCACTTTAAAGACAACACAGATGTCTTGCATCCACCTCTTTATACAGACTTCGAGCAGCCCCATTTATTTGTTATATACATCTGTATGTATTAAAAAAATATATGTAATTACCTGCCTCAAAACTATAATAGTGAATAATAATAACAATAATAATAATAATAATAAACAATTTATATCGAAGCTTTTTCTTCAGGCATCCGAAGGTGCCTTACAAACCACTCAAAATCTAAAAAGTAAAAGCTATCTAAAAAACATCATCGCAAAGTCCACAGTCACTAAAATAAATAGATGATTTAATTAAAAGCTTTCTTAAAAAGTATTCATTAGTCTTTTCTTAAAAATGCCAACAGAAGAGCTTGATTTTATGTAAAAGGCAGCAAATTCAAAAAAAAACTTGGTGCAAAACGGAAAAGGATCTATATCTGTAAGTTCAAGATTAAAAGGGGCAAATAACTGTTGCTCAATTATTAAGCAACAGTTTCGAAGCAGATCACAAACTACGCAATGAAGAGTAAGGCTCTTGGAGACCACTTAAGTACTGAGGAGCCAAGCCTTGTATCGCCTAATATTGAAAAGCAACACTTTAGATTCAATACCCTGCTCAACATTCATTCATGTTTGCAGTTTGTTAACAAGGAATGAATATTTTAAGTCAGCATTTCAATCACAGGCATAAGTTATGTGCACCATATGGAGATGTGCAGAAATCAGTCTAACCAAAGCCTGCATGGTAAGCATTCCCATGTGAGCAAAGTACAAAATTTGTCAAGCAACAACAGCTTGGTATGGTATGATTTTATTGATTGACAAGTTAGTAATTTGTCAAACAAATTTCATTGAAGCATACCTTGTGAAAAACCCCTGGACATCAAGCAACCAGAATTCACTCAAATCATCATGTTTTTACCAAAGTTTTATCCGCAGACTAACAGACCTGCCAACCCCTGACCTTGCTTACCTTTTGGTCAGGTGCTGGAATCTCTCTACTGAGGTACCAGGTTGTTTCTTATTCAACAAGGTAACATTTCATTTCAGAATGATTTTTCAACAAAAACCGTGAGATTGGGATTCTTGTCGTGAGGCCGTAAGAAAAGATAAAAAATCGTGAGACTCACGGCTACGGTGGCCCACAACTGTCACATCAAATACAAATTACTCACATCAAATACAAATTACTCACATCAAATACAAATTACTTACATCAAATACAAATTACTCACATCAAAAACAAATTACTCACATCAAATACAAATTACCCACATCAAACACAAAATCCTGACATCAAATACAAATTTCTCACATCAGAAACAAATTACTCACATCAAATACAAATTACTCACATCAAATACAAAATCCTGACATCAAATACAAATTTCTCACATCAAAAACAAAATACTCACATCAAATACAAATTAGTCACATCAAATACAAATTAGTCACATCAAATACAAATTAGTCACATCAAATACAAAATCCTGACATCAAAAACAAGATTAAACGGTCAGCGGTCGCAGAACGAAAACTATGTCCAGTTTTCACTCGGCCTTGACCCGACCGCCATTTTGTTCCTGCACGTGGTATTGTCGTCGGGATGTTTTGCAGCACCTGCGGAAGAAATGTCGACAATTGCAACTTTTGTAGCAACTGCATGAAAGGTAAGTTAAAGCTGCAGACTAGTGGCGAACGACCAATTAAGGTCTACAAAGAGTTCACTTTGTAACTCAAATCAGAGGGCTCGCTCATTACACCACAGGTAACCCAAGCTCAAAATATGAGCATCGGCGAGCATCGGCATTGTTGCGTAACATTCAAAATATAAGGATTTGTATTGGAAAAAAAAGAACTATCTTTTCTGTAACCTACGAAAATGGAAGGATTTCAATAAAAAACAGCTTACCTTACTTAAAATGTGTGTTACGTCTCTCCTGTGTGGTCCACGGGCCGATTTATGGCCGTTTTATGGGTTTTTATGTAAACAGTTTTCTCTCTATATAAAGGTTTACCAAGGTTGGGCACTCCAGCGAAGCGGCTCGACTGATCCACTGAAGGAAAACGGCCGTAAATTCGCTCCAACTGCTCCAATCGCCTCCAAATTCCGCCTAGGTAACACACGATAGTTCTCCTTTCCATTCATTATCTTGCTTCAAGATGCCTTGGCACCGAGAGCGAATCAAAGGTCGCACATCAATCTCTGCAACCTTTCCCGTCTGAAGCCATCGACTGAACCTCGGCTTGAACTACGCGTTACAGTTGAAAGATAGCGACAATGCCTGAGACTCAAATTACTCACACTCGGGGTGAGAGACAGTCTCCTGCTCCCATTGACATCAATACCCCAGAAAGAAAACAACTGGAGCAAGAGACTGTCTCCCACCCCGAGTGTGAGTAATTTGAGTCTCAAGCCGTGTCGCTATCTTTCAACGGTATAGAGAGAGAACCGTTTACATAAAAACCCGTAAAACGGCCATAAATCGGCCCGTGTACCACAAGGGAGAGACGTAACACACATTTTAAGTAAGGTAAGCAGTTTTTTTTATTGAAATCCTTTCATTTTCGTAGGTTACAGAAAAGAAAGTTTTTTTTCCAATACAAATCCTTATATTTTGAATGTTAC